AGTCGGCCATTTTGAATCGAATCGCTAAACCACTGCATGTGCATATGTCCCAGGTAAAGTACTAGGCACATGCAAAGAATGAACGGAATCGGTCCAAGGGATTCTGAGATATGACTCCGGACAGACGCACGGACGGAGACCGAATTATAAGTCCCCGTTTTTGGACTTCGTCCGAACGGGGACTAACAAGGACATCAGTTTAGTAAGCATCAAAAGAATGAGTAAAACATCCTGTACTTTCCAGAGTATCAGTCACATTTTTCTAGAAGTTTACTCTAAGATGCAATATGGATGAAAACATATATTTTTGTTATATTGTTGTTTTGATACTCCACACTGTAGACTAAATCAGAATATGATTTATCATAAACTAAAAATGTTTTGTTTGCAGGACATGCAACAGTATTTGTTAAATGAAAAATCACTAATATACATGTGTAGTGATTGTTATTGCACGTACCAAAACAACCAGTACACATGCATATAAGAAAATTGTTTCGTCCAACGAATACTTAGATATGTGCTACAAGATTGAAGTTTTCACATCATGATAAATTAAAGCCCAATCCAGTCATTGATTTACAGCATCAAACAACAATATTAAAAGTTTCATCTTCTTGACATTATTGCATATTTAAACATTGACAACATTTACAATTTTTCAACTTGACAATAAATTGAATCAAAATAAATATTTGTGGAGACTAACCTTCAATTAATTTTACCAGACTTTCTTGTAAGACGTAATATCTCTCAATAGCTCTGTGAATTCGTCTCCATTGTGGGTAGTGAGCCTCAGTTTCAACTCCACCACCTGCAATCAATTAAGCTCATTATTATGCAAACAAGCTCATCATTATACAAACAAGCTCATCATTATGCAAACAAGCTCATCATTATGCAAACAAGCTAATTATTATGCAAACAATCTCATTATTATGCAAACAAACTCATCATTATGCAAACAAACTCATTATTATGCAAACAAGCTCATCATTATGCAAAACACAAAATATCATTTCATATTTGTTCAATAGGTTATATTCACAGGCTGAAACTCTTTAATGTTTTGATATTTACTTGTAGTATCACCCATGAATCCCTCCATTTCCTCCCCCAAACTGATCTCATTATGGTGAGTTATTTTATTTAAAAACTCATCAGGAATCAATTTTTTAAAATACAGCTGATGTAAAGTACAGAATGTTAAACAGTGTCAATATCAGATGATAAAAATGTTTTCAACCCCAACTGTGTCACTTTGTCATTTTGTTGGTCATTGTGGCCTAAACTGCTCGAACATATGATTTCAGTTATACCGATAAAAATGTGTGTTGGTCTACCCAAAATGTACTTTAATTCATACTGCTGAGTACAAAGTTAGTTGAGGGATAGAACCCACAAACTCTCTGATTCAAAGCAAAACCACTGTACCATGCACAGGTAATTAATGTTAATTGGCGTATGGTACAGTGGTTAGCATGTTCGCCTCACAACAGGGAGGTTGAGGGTTTGATCCCAAGTTGCCTGCTAATGTTATAAAACAGAGAATTATTCTGCTTTGCCCACCAAATGAAAGGAAGACGTCCTATCGAACAGAGATGATAAAAACAGTCAGTCCTATGTACTGTTCCTGTACTCAGTGCATGTACCTGCTTTGCAAAAAGTAGCAAATTTCCAGACAATGTATAATTCGCAAGAGTTGGGCATTCAGATCTGTAATTAGGTTGTTTACCGTTGATCTTGGTAATAAATTAAAATATATATATATATATGGATATTCCATTTTTACTATTACGTACCTTTAGCTTTGGCAGTCTGCGCAACTGATGGTGATCGTGTATCAATAATATATCCTCTTTTACCAATACTTAACACAGCATTCACTAATCTCTCATCATCTTTACATCTTTTGTTGTTAGGACCCGTCAGCGGCTGACCACATCTCATCATAACCATCTAGTTTAAACATGAAATTAAAAGAAAGTTAGGAGATATGATGTCATAATTTTTTGTTCATCGAGAGAATTGTTGTCATCATAATTTGTGTTTCAAGAGTATTGATGTCAG